CTGAGCTAAATCCCCAGCCCCCGACCATTATGTTTTTATGAAGCAACTATACTTCTGTGTAAGAGCACAGGAGTAGAGAAGCTGGCTTTTAGGAATTGGACTTCCAAGCCAGAGAATTTCCCTTATATCTGTATTTGTTATCTATTGTTGTGTAACAAATTACCTCCAAATTTAATGTCTTAAAATAGCAAACAGTATCTGTCAGTTTCTGAAGGGTAGATTGGGAGCAGTTTTGGAGGATGGGTCTAGCATGGGATTTCATGAAATTTCAAGATGAAGGCAAAGGCTGCTGTCATCTGGAGCTGGAGAATCTACTTCCAAACTCCCTCACGTCTGTTGGCATGGTGCCTCAGTGTCTCCCCATGTGGATCTCACCTCTGGCAACATGAGTGTCTTCACACCATGGTAGTTGGCTTTCTCCTGAGTGACTGGCCCCCAAGAAGGAGGCAGACAGGGACAAAGTCACAGTGCCTTAAAACCATCACACTCCCAAAAGAGAATGAAGACAGGTCAAAAGGAAGGTAGAATCAACTAAATGATAAGCTGAAAGATAAATTGCTATTCAGACCAATTCCTCAAAATGTGTGTCCTCAAACTGGGGTAGGAGATGAACTTTCTCCTTTTGCTCAAAGCTACCTGACAGTCTGGAGAGGAAAGACAAGAACCTAGTTTTCTGGAGAACTGTAGCTGTCCATCTGCCTGATTACTAGCTGCTCAAGGATGTTTGCAAGGCACCAACTGGGTGTTTCCCTGACTCATTTACAATTTTACTCTCCTTTGGCCTGTAATTGGCAGAGAAAGGGAACTGGCGCCTTCCAGTTGAGCCACTAGAGCAGTATTAATTGAAGGGAGATAAAAAAAGAAGTAGGGGTGAAGTCATTGAGCTGCAGAAAAGCAAGCAGAAATGAAAGGCAAGCAGTTCAGATTCAGGTGAAGTAGCTGGTGGTGTCAGGAACCCAGGTCCCCACCTCAGTCAGAGCTGAGCACCTGTTCTGTCAGCTGCACCAGCTTATAGACTTGGTCAGGTCACTTGCTAAGAAGCAACTTTTCCATAAGCTCAGGAACCCCTGCGGATGGTAAATGTCTGTCATGCTGATTGCCTGTCATGTCCAACTGATTGCAGCTGAACTCTGTGTGCCTGACTTGCCCTGGGCTTCTTGATGGAAGTGCTTTCTTAGTGGATGCCTGCTGTTTCTGGCTCTCGTTCCTACCCAGTCCTGAGCAATTTCAGGTTTCTTAAAGATGGCAATTCTTGTTTGATTTTATCCTCTGCCCCCTCCTAGCATTTTCTTCCCCTGTAGCCATGCTTGCTTTAGCATGTACTTGAATAAAAATCATCGCTGCTGAGGCAGTCAGAAAGAAAGGTGCTCCTTCTGGAAGTAGAGTACTATCTCTAAAGTACCTTCCAGTGAACTTTGGTTTTCCTCCTGACTTGAGATGGAGTTAAAATCAGTGGTCTTTTATATTATTGCTGTTTTTATTCTCATTTGGGTTATTGGCTCTTTGGTCACTCAGACCTTAGCTCCCCAGTTCAGACACTGAAGTCCACATGTCCATCAGATTGCAGCAAGGCTCTGTTCACACCCCAGCCAGTGTACAGAGTGCCAGCTGTGAGTGGAGGAAGCTGCTACAAGGGCTCAGCGTGTTGGCAGCAGTGTCCCAGGGGCGCAGTCTCTCCCTGCTCTCCATCCCTTGAAGCCAGGGCCCTGAGCCCCTTGCAGTTCCCCTCTGGGGAGGAGGCAGTCTGTCTGTCTGATTCAGTACTGTCTCTTCTCAGCATGTTTTCTGGACTACACACACATGAGTAGCTATTTATTAATGTGCGAAACCCAATCACTTACCCATCCTTAGCATCTGGGAGAGGGTTTTATGTGTTGTACAACCTTTGTGAGGGCATCGTCTTTCGGAACTTCAAGGAGGGAGTAGTTACCTCTTAACTTTTGGTAAAGGATGAAATCAGATTTTTTGTCCCTGGGGAGGGAACCCAGGGCTTCAGGTATGCTAAGCAGGCACCGTACCACTGCACTACATCCCCAGACCTCGAAATCAGATCCTGATGCAGGTCTGGCACCAGTCTTTAGAACGCTTGCACTCCAAGTGCACTTTGCATTCCAGGAATTGTTTACCATTTTAGTACAGTTTCCTTGAGGCTGGTTCATAGCTGTTTCTAACTGAAGACTGATAGTGATTGACAGATACTCATTTTTCTAACTAACCGTTCATGACATCTACCCTACCCTCTGGAGTTTAAACTCTTCTCTCGGCGGGCCCTGGAAGTTGGTACTTTTTGGCAAGGATTAGGTTTTGAAGTCTTGAGTCTGCTTGTTAACCTCTGCCTGCAGCCCTGGCAGACTGTCCTGGATATCAGAGATGCCCCTGGGAAGTACTGAGCTAAGATGCTTCCCAAGGTATTAAACGCTCACTCTGCACCTGGCAGAGGGGTGATGCAGTGCTTGGTACTCACTTGGCTGTGTTGAGGTTTCTAAAGGGAGATCTTGCCAGTGCTTAAATCCAAAATTCCTGTACACTTCAAACAGAATTCCTTGTGTCCAGCACAGAACATCCATTCTTGTCACAGTGTTCCCCTTTCCTCTCCATCTTAGTCTTTAAAAAGCAAAAACCCAGGCCCAGGTCAAGGGGCACTGTCACTGGGATGGGGGGGTTCATGCTCCTTCCTGGTGGCTGTGCAGAGTCACAGTCCCTCAGCAGTGCCTTTGCATCACCTGCAGACCAACCCGTCTCTGCCCACCTGGGAGAGGAGGCCCTTGCAGCCCCTGTACACCTTAAGCAGGTGTCTTGAAGAGCTCGAGGACACCCATGTGTCCATTTTAAGTGTCTTTTAAAAACATTTTGTATTAAAAAACCCTCCCTGTCTAATACCACCAGCTCCAACCTCACTGAAAAGTGGAGACTGCCAGCACTGTGCTCAGCCTTGCCCTCGTCTCCCTGATGTGCTGTCCCTTCACCCCCATCCATTCTCTGTCACCAGTGGACAGTGGAGGGCTTATGCAGTCCTGTGTGATCCCATGACCAGTTTTTGTTTTTTAATTGTCTTTCCAAACCAGCAGGTATTTGGAAGTTAGAGAAAAAATTAAATTCTCACCAATGGTTGCTGTTAACAGTTAATAAAGGATTTGAATATCAACTTGGTGTCTTTCTGTTTTGTGGTGTTGGGATGGAACTCAACTTCTGAACCACTAAGCTACACCCCCAGCCTCAGCTTGTTGTGTTAATGGAGTGGAGAGAGTCACTGTTGGTTCAAACTGGCCTTGAACTCATTTTGCTGGGCAGGGTGGCACGCGCCTGTAATCCCAGCACTTGGGAGGCTGAAGCAAGGAGGATAGTGAGTTTGAGACCAGGGTGGGCTACAAGGTGAGCTCAAGGCGGCTGGCCTGAACTGCATAGCAAGACCCTGTCTCAAAAAGACAAAATAAAAAGGGGCTGGGGATATAGCTCAGTGGCATAAGTGCCTGCCTGGCAAGTGCAAGGTCATGAGTTCGATCCCCGGTACCAAAAAAAAAAAAAAAAAAAAGAACTCACTGTTAGCCCAGGCTGGCCTCCAACTCACTGCAATCCCCCTGCCTTAGTCTTGTTGTATTAATTTTTTTTTTAATTTAAAGTTCCAAGTGAATAATTATTTCACATCTGGGGAGTCCTGGCTGGTGGAGGAGATAGGCCAAGCTAGTTGGCCACTTCGTTTATAACAGAGCACTTAATGAATAGGTCTGGTCCCATAAAAGTGAGATGATACAGGCCTTTCCTAGGGAGCAAGGGCCAAATCTGTGGACTGTGCCAGGTGCACCCATAGAGCCCTCCAGGTGCCACTTTCTGCAGCAGGGCTGTCATGGCCCTTTGGGTGCTTGTTAGACACCCGTCGTGTTGTGTCTTCAGCTGGGCTGGGCTGTGTGGGTGTCAGATTCCTGGTAATGAATGCAGCATTTGAGGCCTTAGGAACAAGGGTCCTGTTCCCCTGGCGGGCGGTGGTGGACAGAGGACCACAGAAGAAAACTGGTCTACAAGTCCTCCCATCGGAACAGTGCAGAGGTGGGAGACGCTGGCTTTGTGGTCAGTGCCAGCTATGCCTCTGAGGAGCTGGTTTCCTACAGGATTCTTGGGTCTCTGAGCCTCAGTTTTGTTTTGTTTTTTGAGACAGGATCTTGCTGCATAGTTCAGGTTGCCTGTGAACTCACTATGCAGCCCAGGCTGGCCTTGAACTTTTAGCAGTCCTGTTGCCTCAGCCCCCAGTGCTGGGATTATAGGTGTGTGTCACCATGTCCATCAGTTTTAGCAAAGATAGGGCTAGTAACTTGTAGCTTTTATGAGGCTCAGGGAGTGTCCAGCACCTGGTATGGGAAGAGTTCAGTTGATAGTGTTTCTTGTCAGAGAACTCAAGCCCTGCCTGCTGGCGTGGAAAGCCAGAGGCTGCTAGGCATGGATGCTGCAGCCAGCACCCAGGCAGGGGCAGCTAGTGGGACCAAAGGATCTCTAAGGAGAGATGGCACCAAAATAACCTGCAAAGCACTTTCCTATATCCATTACCCTACCCTGAAGCTAATTAGGAAGAGGGACAAAAATGGAGGCTTTTCAAGATGGAGATAAACAATAGGCCACAGCCATTTTCCCACCTGTCTGCCTCTGTCTTTGTCTCTGTTTCTCTCATTGCCCAGGTTGAGACTTGTGATCTTCCTGCCTCAGCCTCCCAGAGTGCTGGAATTAACGGTCATGTGTCACCATGCCCAGCCCAGCTTCTTTGACAGTATCTTTTTCTTCATTGTGCCAGGCCCACCCACTTCCCCAGTAATGCAACCAGTTTTCGCCACTCACAGCTTCTAATTTGGCTGCTCTAGGAACAGTAGCTCTTTGCTTTGAGATCAAAATATCTGTTCTACTACAGCCATAGGTCAGGCAGGGCCATGCTGAGGCAGTTACTTCCTCTGACTTGCAAAACCTTTAGCCTGCTTACTGCTCAGAGCAGGAAACTTCTTGTCAGGCTGGTGTAGATTGGCTCTGTTCCACATGCCAGGCAGCAGCTAGATGCCCTGCTGCTAGTACAGCAAGAAGCAGTTTTCAGAAGGGTCGGCAAACAACATGGAGTTTTGCCGCTTTGTGCCCTGCTCTTGTGCTTGATATGAGGCAAGGCCTTGCTGCCAGTGTGGTCAGTCTGTTCCGAGTCAACAGAGCAGCTAACTATAAACACTCCAGCAAGTTGTAGCTGCAGGTAGGTTGACCTTCCACTTTGCTGGCCCTAGCTGTATAAGAACATTTTTTACTGCCAGGAACTTGTCAGTGGTAGGGTTTCAGTATTTGGCTCTAAAGGCCAAAGGCTTGATCCAGAGCAAGGTGAGCAAAATCCTGGAGATGCTATTCAGGATGGTGCTACCAGGGCTCAGAAAATCGGAACTCCACCCTGATATGGTGGGGCCGGGAGGCCTCTCTGTGGTCTCCCTTAGGAAAGGGAGTGCAACAAGCTGACCTAAGGCTGCCCGTGCTACTGTCCTCAAGTAGTCACATGCAGAAGAATCCTGTTGTTCTGAACTGTGCCTAGCAGGTCCATTTCCAGTCCAGGAAATGAGAGCAGGATCAGCTTTGTTCCTGAATCAAGGCCTGGAGATTTCAGAAGCCCAGGCCCAACTCTAGCAAACTCAGTCCTGCTTGGACCAGGATTACCACTGGACACTTTGGAGGCTGCAGCTGAGTCGGCCTAAGCTCAGCAGGGTCCCACACAACTGGGGTCTAAGGTTGGGGCACCAACCAAGTGGGTGGCTTTCTGGGAAGCATGGGTAGATATCAAGCTATCACATGGCGTAGATGTCGGTCGGGGTGGGAGGCTGTGTGGCTGGGGCACGCTGGCCCTCGCGGTCCTGGCGCAGCCCCTCCACGCAGGCGCCGGGAAATGCAGGCAGCAGGCACTCGGGGAAGCGGCGCGGAGACGCACACCAGCCCTCAGGTAGGCCGACGCTGCGCAGTTCAGAACCGCCATCCCACAGAGAAGCACCCACACAATAGGCGCCCCCCGGAGACGTGCGTGAACCATCCCGACATGGAGAAACCTCTGGGAAAACATGCCACACAGCGGGTCGCTCTTGGCCCTGCCCTCGAGAGCCAGAAGGTCCGGAGTCAGCGGAGGAGCAGCTGATGAACAAGGACTTGGAGAACACGAGAGTACCGACGCCCGACGACGCAGAGGTCGAGCTGACTGAGGACAGGGGAGCCATTCGGGAGCTGGAAACCAGGAGGACCTTGCGCGGCACTCGGGGAGACCCCCTGGAGGCCATTCTTCCCCTAACTGTACAGGCTGCGGTGGAGGAGCGAGTGGAGCTCTGGAGAGGTCTGCACCGAGACTTCATGGATTACACGGGTGCCCAATATTCAGATTCTGTAGAACCGCCTTCATGGAGAAGGTATGTGTCTAGGTTACCTGCTTGGGATACTTGGCACCTGATCGTGCTGAGACTGACATTGGGCCGAGGACTTCATCCACGTGTTCCTGCCGCCTGTGTTGACGGTTGAGGAGAGGACACTAAGTGGTTGCGGAGTCCCAGTGTGCTGGGAGGCCGGAGAGAACACTCCTCTGCTTTCTTAGACAAGAGGCATTGATAAAGCATACTTCCCTGGATCCCAGTTCAGTAGAGAGACAAACTATTCTTGAGGATGGGTTTGTTGCTCAGTCAGCCCCAGATAGTGGAAGGGGGCTGCGGAAGATGGCTTTTGCCCCGGGTAGCTCGCTTGAGATGTTGGTAGGAGTTGCCTCCTCAGTGTTTTGTGGCCGTGGTGAGGGGAAGGCCAAGGGAAGAGGGCAGAGAGACCGAGAGGGGACTGCTGCCTTTGATGCAGCACTGGGAGAGGCAGACCCTGGGTCTGCTTCTCAGGCCCTGGGGTTGGGAGGGGGGTGGCTTGTAGGCTGCATTCCTCTGCTGCTGCTGTTGGGGGCTGGGCCACCTCAGGAGGGACTGCCCTGGGAGGCCCCCTGGGCCATGCTCTGACTGTGGGGATGGCCACTGGAGGTCGGGCTGCCCTCTGAAGCGGTGGTCCCCGGGGCTGGGGCCCCTCCTACCAGCTGGTCCAGCAAGAATGAAGGGGCCCAGGGCATACTCTGCCTTCTCCCTCTGGCTGGACCTTTGTCTCCAAGGAGTAGCTCTGCGAAATCATGACTATAGAGGAAAAGGTGGACAGCCTGTTGCTGGACACTGGTGCTGGTCTCTTGCTCCTTCTTTTCAGTCCTGGCCTTCCTTCCAGCCATCACACCTCAGTGAGGGGAGTCACTGATGAGGAGGTAATCCGCTATTTTTCCGCAACCCTTGGGCTATAACTACTTGTTGGATCTTTCTTGCATATCTTTCTTTTCCCGAGAAGCCACTTTGAGGATGCCAACATGTATTGCAGCAGCCGTTGATGATTTCCTACCAATCTGTCCCTAACTCTGTAATGTCTGTATTGTTCCTATGCTATTTCGTAAATGGATGTATGTTTGTTACTATGTGTTTTCAACAGCAACCATTGAAAATAGTCAATGGTTATTTGATTGATCACTCATGTATAGCTCTATTTGTTTTCCCTAGAAACCACTTTGGAGAATCCAAGCTATAGTATAACAACCATTGATAATTTCCTGCCGTTTTTGTCTAACTCACTATTATTTGTCTATTTGTTTTCCTGAGAAACTATCTTGAAGATACCAATAGGTAAAATAACAACCATTGATAATGTCCTACCACTTTGTCTGTAATTTGGTGAATCCCCCTATTGCTATGTTGTCCTTCTTTTACTCTTTAAAATTGAAAAAGAAAAAAGCTATCACATGGATTAGCATTCTCCATAAAATGGCCTGCTCACTCCAAGCAAAAACAGCCTTGCTTTGGCAGTGCTCAGCAAAGTGAATTTGATAAAGTGTCAGCTTTGGGGCTTCCTCATTCAGAAGGCAGAAGTTTGTGCTTAGATTCATGGAGGCATTTTCCTATAGTAAATGCCATGTTTTTGTTTCCTGTGGCTTTTTTTTTTTTTTTTTTTTTTGAGACAGGGTCTTGCCATAGTTCAGGCTGGCCTTGAACTCACAGTGATCTTCCACCCTCAGCCCTGAGTTCTAGGGTTACAGGTGTGGGCCCCCACGCCCAGCAGCTCATGAACACTGCC